CTGTGAATACATAGTATCCCTACGTGGGTTCAGTTCCCTTTGTCATTTCACTTACTAGAGTTGTGTAGTGTTCCTCAAACAGACCCTCATAAGTATTTCATCTTTGAGATGTACTAATATAAATGACAGCTTTCATATTTTGAGATTTCTCTGACCCATTTTAGTTACGTAGTAAAGTGACTGACTTTGTAGATTTGTCTTGTATACTAAAAATGTCATGTAATGGCTTATTAGTTCCAGGAAGTTTTATTCATTTATTTTTTACATCTTTTGGTTTGTTTGTTCATTCATTTTAATTTGAGTTTTGAGTTTCTTGGTTAATTCTTGTGAACTTTTTACACATATGGTCATGGCCTCAGTGAATTAGACAGATTTATTGCCTAGTCTCAATTTATATTCATCTCCCTTTCTTTTTCTTGTCTTATTGCTTTGGGTAGAAATTCCATTATCATGTTGAAAAGCCACAGTGAGAAAAAGCATATTTTGGCTTGCTCTTCATCTTTCCAGAAACTTCTACTTTCCCACCATTAAGTGTGCTTTTTAACTATAGGGTTCTTTTTTTTAGATGTTCTTTATCAAGTTGAGGAAGATCTAGCTCTGCTCCTGGTTTACTAAGAGGTATTTTATAATTATGAAATGTACCATTTTAAAAAAAGTTTTATTAACATGATCCTGTAATTTTTTTGTTGTTGTTGTTGTTATAATGGACTACTTCATTTTGACAGTTAAACCAGTCTTGTATTACAGATACATCCCACTTGGTCACAGCATGAATTGTTAATTCAACCTGCTGGTATTTTTTGAAATAATTTTGCATGTATGTTCATGAGGCATGTGGGTTTGTAGTTGGTGTAACTCTATGCATTCTAAAGAAAGTTTAAAAAGAAAAATAGAATGTAGGTGTGAGATGCTATAGATTTCCTCATGGCATTGCACCCACTGCATCCCACAACTTTTGATAAGTCGCTTTTCTTAAGTTCTCAGTTAGTTCATAATTTTTAAAAAATGTTTAATTTGAGTTTCTTACATCCTGGTCTTATTTAGAAGTGAATATTTAGAAGTGAATTTGGAGAATATCTCCAAACATTTTGATATTTCACATCTATCTTTTTCCTGATTTAGAGTTCAATTCCATATTGATCCAAATGTAGACATTCCTTAATTTTGATGTCTTAAATTTCATGTATACATATCCTTTCCTTTTCTCCTTTCTTCCATCTAAGTTTTTCTTTCCTTTTAAAGGAAGATAAACATAATAATGAAATCGAGTTTCAAAACAAGTTATTAGGACAGTCACAATAGTGAATACATTGTGTACTCTCATTTTCCTAGTAGTTATTCAGAGTACAAGATATATGTGTGCAATCTTGTCTGTACAATATTAGCAATAGACATTCTTTTTAATGAACTAAGAGAAATTAGCGATATAGGAAAATATATGTGTATGTGTGCATATATATCACACACAAAATAGCTAAGATAATTGTACTGCTAATTTCTAGTGATTTCTTGAAAGGAACAGTTAATGTTTAATGTTTAATCAATCTTGCATTCTTACATCTGGTATTCTGAGCAACTTCTCTGAAGATAACAATATGTAATATAACAACCATTATTAATATTCTATCATCTTATTTTGAAATTATGTATCATTTTTATTGTTTTTATGTTTTGTTCTTGTCTTTGTTGTTATTTCATTTTTCTTTTTTCTCTCTTTAAAGTTAAAAAAAAACTTAAAAAAAAAAGTTTTATGGTGTATTATATGGTCCAGAATGGGCTGTATCTTCTTGAAAGTTCCACATGCACACTTGAGATGAGCATGCATTCACTGCTGTGGGGATAGTTAGTCTATAAATGCTCATTATGCCCACTCGGTTGATGGTGTGGAGCGTTGTTCATACTGAGTCTCTGCCGGTTGAGTCTGCCTATTTCTAAAACACTGATATGTTGAAGTCCCTGAGCGTAATAATGGATTCATGTATTTATCCTGTGGCTCCATCAGTGTTGCCTTATTTTGGTGCTTTGTTGTTAGGTTCATACAGGTCAAAAATTTGTATCTCTTCTTTGAGAACCAATCCTTTTATTATTCTTAATGTCTCTCCTGCTCCCTCATAAAATTATTTGCTGTGATGTCTCTTTGACTGAAATTAAATGGCTACTTTTGGTTTCTGTTGACTAATGCTAACATGATATATCTTTATTCATTTACTTCTAATATGCATGCATTTTTATAGTTAAAGTGGGCTTCTTATAGGCAACATATAGTTAGCTCTTTTTTTGACCCGCTTTGACAATCTCGGTTTTTATTACTGGCTTTAGCACATATTATCTGAACAGTGTTATGTGTTTCTTTATGACATTTTCATCATGAACATAGTGTACCGTGTCATAGCCTCCTTCCCTGTTGTCTTATCTTTCTTCCTTACCCCTTCTTCCCAGGGTCCTTCCCCTTCAACTTTCTGTCCTGTTTTTTGTGGACAATCTGTCTTTTAATTAGTATTTTGGGCTACAGATCATCAAAACGGTTATTAATATAGCTGGATTAATAGTCACCGTATTTTGTTACTCTGGTTACATTACTCTTTTCTATTTTTGCCTGCCCTTTGTTCCTATTTTCGTCTTTTACTCTTTTTCTGACTTCAATACTTTTAATTAAACATATTATATATTTCAATTTTTCTTATTTCTTAGTATAACAACTATTATATACATATGCATTCTACTTTAAGTTGTTCTAGCTTTAATATTTATGTAGGACTAATCAAAATTCACTTTCAAATAACACTGTACTGCTTATTGAGTACCTTCAAGTGACACCCCTCCCTCTCTCCCTTTGAACCCCTCCTCCCACTCACTTCACATTCCTAGGCATATGTGCACACGTACATATACATAATTGAGCATGTTGTTACAATCGTTGTTTATTGAGTCACAAAATCAAAAAGCGAAGGAAAATAAATGTTTTATATTACCTTCACTCTTTCCCTTTTCAGTTTTCTTCCTTTCTTTATGTAGTCTCAACTTTCTGACTTATATCCTTTCTCTTTCTCCAAAGAACCTAGAATATTTTTGCTATCAAGTGCACTGGCAACACACTGAACTTTTGTCTAAGCAAAGCTTTATCTCTCCGTTACTTCTAAAGGGTAACCTTGCTCCTCTCAACACATCAAGTACTCACTATTTTGTTCACACTCTTTCTGAGGAGTTGTTTTTCTTTGTCTTTTCTCCTCTATTTGTAAGTTTTCCTTTTGTACCCGGAATTGAACTCAGGATCTTGCACTTGCCAGGCAGGCACTTGTGCCACTGAGCTACATCCCTGGCCCAGTAAGAATTTTTTAACTTCTGGCTTCTTCCCCTTTATGAGTGATTTTTTGTAATTTGACTGTTTAGTCTTTGAGTTTCCTGGACTTGTGGTTTGGAGTCTGTCATGAATTTTGGGAAATTTTCAGACATTTTTTCATATATGTCTTTTATTTGTTTTTTCTTCTTCTATACTTCCTATTTTGTGCATACTATTTTTTTTATACTTACTACACATTTCTTGGATACTCTATTTTAATTTTATTTTTTTTTCTAATTTTTTTTTTCATCTTTTGGTTCTTTTCCAGTACCAGGAATCAAACTCATGACCTTGCGCTTGACAAGCAGGCACTGTGCCACTGAGCTAAATCCCCGGCCCTTTTAGAAAAATTAGAAAAAATTAGAAAGTTAGAAAAAAAAAATTAAAAATTAGAAAAAATCTAATTTTTAGTTGTAAAAGTTTTGTTGAGATATCCTCAAGCTCAGAGATATTTCCTCTACCATATTCTTTCTCCTAATAAGCTCACCAAAGGTATTTCCAATAGAGTTTTGATAGCCAACATTTATTTTTTGCTCTTTCTTAGAATTTCCACCTTTGTTTACCTTGCCATCTGTTCCTATACACTGACTACTTTATACACTGAAGTTCTTAGTACGTTAACCATAGTTGCTTTACATTCCTGATGTGATGATTCCAAATATTCCTGCTATGTGTGAATGTTTTACTGATACTTGTACTATCGCTATATGCTGTGCTTTCTGTTATTGTTATTGTTGTTGTTGTTTTTATTTTTTGGCTTTTAGTAATCTCTATGCATTTTTTTCTTCATAGTCAGCTCAGATTGGGTAAAATAAGCTGCTGTAAATAAACCTTGCATAATAAAGTGGTAAGCTCTGGGGGGAACATTCCACAGTCATATGAGGTGTAAGTACTTTAGTAAGCCCGAGACTCCAGATGTGCCCCTCATGCATATTCCTCAGTTCTGCCCACCCCCCTTTCTTGCAACAGGGTGGTGAGAGTGGGCTGAAGCTGGGTAATAAATGTCTACCATGAAGGCCAGCTGGGGCGGGGTGTTCTCTCTTCTCCCACTTGGAAAGGTATGGCTAAGTGGAAGTGAGTATTTCATTTCACCAGGTCGTTTGGACCGTGTTAAAATGCTGGTAGTTTAAATAGTGGCTAAATCGTTGCTCTTGAGGGCAGATGTTGTTGAGAAGAAAATAGTACTACAAAATGTTCAGTAATGGTTGCTCTCACCTCCTGTCACTAGATCCTCAAGGGGCTCAACTTTGATGTTCTCTCTAAGAACTTGGTGGAGCCCCTGGTGGCACAACTGAACAAAATGTGGTGATTTCCTTTTCCTGGCATTATGGTTTGCGTCTAGATGACCCCCCAAAGCCTCACACGGCCATAGGGCTTCCTCAGAGGTGGCTGAATCTAGAGTGGGTGATGCTGGGATTAAGAGCATATTAATAAATCAGTCCACTGACTGTTTCAGCACAGTTCTGCCTAGCATTCAGGGTGTGAGTGCTACACCTGTCCTAGGGTGGGTAGCCTGCATACAACACAAGGGAAAGAAAGAATCATGTGCCCCCCACCTTGTTGCTGTCTTCTCCCCGCCATGAACTTTTGCTTCTGTAGCGCCTGCCACCCTGCCTTGGAGCCAGCTGATTATGGACTGAAGCTTGTATAAACTCTGAGCTAAATGAAACTTTCCTCCTTTAACTTTGGGTGTCAAGCATTTTGTCTCAGCCGTGAGAGAAAAGTAATTAAGACACCTGGATCACTCTAAAATTTTACCTCTCAGTGCTTTGCACTAAATCTTTAGCAGTTCCTTCATTACAGTTTAGGTTTCCCCACCCTGTACTTCACCGTTTCCCCCTCAGAAACTGATTCGGTTCATGAGTTTTTGTTCCTGTATGTTGTGATTCTCTGTATTTGCTTATTGATCTCTTGGCTTTAGGGGGGCAGAGGTGTGTGCTGCTATTTCCTTTTCTTTAGGGATCGGACAAGGGTTGTTGATTTCTCATTTTGCTCAAATGGTTTCTTATTGTTACAACATAGTGGCAATTTGCAAACCTTTTTCAAGCTTCCTAACTAGACTATCACTATTATCTTTTTAGTTTTTCCCTCAGCTGTTTTATTCTGGACTGGGATATTTTGTAAGAAAATGGATTAAATATTTAGTTACACCACTGTTGGTGTAATACTTGATTTGAGGGTTGATCAGCGAGTGAAGGGTCAGTCACAAGCATTTCAGATTAAAGCTAGCTCAGGAAAAAGTGGCCAGTCAGTGGTAGGTGTGACGTAAAGCCTTTCAAACATCAAGATGCAGCTGCGCATGGTGCAGCAAATCCATAACTCAGTTATCGTGGGAGGCTGAGGAAAAAGGATCCCAAGTTCAAGCTCAGCATGTTCAATTCTGTGACTGAATGATACCCTACCTCAAAGAAAAAATCAAGATACAAAATGTCACTCTGCACTGAGACATTTTCAAATGATTGTTGGACAATTGTTATAGCTAAAACCTCTGCCTGTTTCCTCACAAGAAGTTTACTTTGGATAGCAAGTCTAGCAATTTAGTGATACTGAACATAAGCAGATGTACAGTGGTATTTAGAATTTCCTGAATTTAATTTTTTAGGTGTGTAATTGAACTCAGTAAAATAGAAGTTGCTTACACTTTCCTTGGGCACAATAGTTTTTGTAAACTGGTTTTCAAGAAGGAAGGAGTACTTTAAAAACGAGCAATGAAGCATATTGTTTAGTATGCATGTGTGGCGCTCAGGTTTATTGATACGGTCTGCCTTTCACGAGATGAACCCTATGACAAATGACAGAGAGGAGATTGCGTGCCACTGTCTCTGTTCTATCCATGTACCACCCGTGGGCACCGATTTCTCATTTCATACATCATTTGCAACTTCCCACAGTAATGTTACACAGCTCAAGTCCTCGGTACAAAACATACCAATTATCTATACACTTATATACATGCAAGCATACCAAACACGAAACCGTCCAGCTCCGAAGCCCACATTCTCCAACCGATGGAAGCTGGTAAAGACCAGGAAGTCATCTAATTACAAAGCTTTCCAGTCTTCACTGCTGGCCACTATGCACCTCTGAAACAGACTCTTTCATAAGGTTTTCCTTTAGAGACTTTTTTGTAGCAGTAAAGTGTGATTTTCTTTTTTTTCCAATTGCTTTGTATTCTGAAAATCAAATTAAAAACAGAGATTCATATTAAATTTTCCATCTACTTATTCTCTTTGTTTCTAAATAGGTAAAAATTATTCTGCATTCTGAAATAAATAAAAATTGAAACATATAAGTTAATTTCAAATGTAAATAAACATTACATATGTATAATATTTGACCAGAGTTTTTAAAGTTAATTAAAGATACCTTTCACATATTTTCATTTGAGGAGGTACACATATTCACATTTTTTCACATATTTTTACAAATTTTCACACATTTTCATTTAAGACAGTACATAACATATAGAGAGATTGTAAATTCACATACACACATACACACACACACACATGTGTATATGATCTTTGAACTATTTGAACCTTTTCATGTGTTATCCATTATCTAGAATTCAACTTAGTTCTTTCAAATTTCAGTATTTATTATATTCTGACATTCTTAATATGAGGTTAGGAAAATAAATGGTAACTCACTCCTTTCAAAACATAGAAATTACTTTTTTAATTCATCAAATGTTTTTGAGTCACACTGTGAAATAATATCCTATCTTTTTGCAGGAAATTCAATATATGGATACTGTGCTTTAACTTCTTTACAACCAAGATTTCTTGAGATTCTTTTCTTTTGGAAATTTATTGTTTCAAATTTCCTTCTATGAACCATTGTTTAGTACCCATGATCCACCAGGAAACACAGAAGTGTAGGTAGAACTAAGTTTTTTGCATAGCTAAGTCTTAGTAGTCCAAGACTGAAAAAAAAATAACTGCTATATATGTCCTATACTTGTAGATCTTTCAGTTAGTAAGTTTGGGTAAATGACCAAGAAATGAGAGGCCCATGTTCATTAATTCAAACTCAGAAGAAATTTCTAGTGTCTCTGCCACTATTTTCTTCTCCTTTTTTTTTTTTTTCTCCCAGTACCAGGAATCAAACTCACGACCTTGTGCTTGCCAGGCAGGTGCTGTGCCACTGAGCTAAATTCCCAACCCTTATTTTCTTCTTCTTGATTTGAACTTTCTCTGTGGTTTAATATTTTCATCTGTAATATGTGGAACACTATATGCTTTTATGTTTCCTAAATATAAGTAAAATCTGCTCTACTAATCATGATGTTCAAAACTTTCCATGTTTAGAGACCACATAATTTGATAATTTTTAATGGTGTGAGACAAAGGTACTACTTTCTAACATCAAGATTGTTTCAATGGCTACTGTACTTTAAGGTCAATATTATTTAATGGATACTGTAGTATACTTCATCTGCCAATAGCTTTAGTAGTGTTACAGTCAGTAACAAGTAGAAGTATAGAAATACTTTACTGGACTTCAGTGTCATGAATAGCCACATTGAACACTCAAATATGCACATCTGATTTTTATATTTATTTGCCTTTTGAAAGACTCTTTACTAGGCCATTTAAAATTCCTGAATACCATAGAAATGAGATAAATATCCATTCAAGTGTGGTTTAGAGTTCCTAAAATGGAGAATATAGTCATCAGTTTAATAGAAATGATATTAAAAAAACTACACCAATGAGTTCTTTATAGTATTGAATTGAAAGAAACATAGTGAGATATGATGGTATCATACATATCACATATGTGGAAAAGTTACCTTGTAAATTTCTAGAGGCTAAGTCATCTCTTCCACTCTATTGTAGAAATTACATCCAAAGGTAATTTAATTGATATTTCCTGACTATCACTAATGCTACCTAAAGCTAACAATCCAGGTACAAACAACAAAAAAATTAAATACATAAATACTCATAAATACACAAACCAAAATAAAATAATAGGATATGGTTAAGAAAAATTTACTTGGAAATTAGGAAGTTAACTTTGCTGTTAGCAAGCCATACAGTACTCAGTAATGAAGATAACTTATGTTTTAAATTTTTACAATATTTTAAAGACTAGGAAGCAATTATTGAGAGAAAGAAAGCTTCTGTCTAAGAATGACAGAAAAGGCCCTGGAAAGTGGATTGCCCACAGATTCTGCTTCTCAAGTATGTTTTATTGAGCAAAGCCACAAGCTGAGGTGGGTTTAAGGCAGGACAAAACTATAGTCAACTAATAAGATTACAAATATAGTCACTTAGGTAATATTGACCCAATTGGAAGTCACAATGTGGGTGTGAGGTGGGACAAAACTATGGTGAACTAATAAGATTACAACAGGTGTAGTCACTTAGGTAATATTGATTATATAGGGATCAAATTAGGAAGCAAGTCATGTACAAGTGCGCATGGGATGGAGAAAGGTTTTCCTGGAAGGTCTAGGGAATTTTAGAATCTGACGTCATTAACCTGTCATCTAAACAGCTATTGAGATATCAGCAGAAGGGTCAGGAATGTACACACAACATTCAACTTTTACAATTGCACAAGTACCCCCCTGTGCTGTTGTTAGAATGTCTGATGTCATCCTGTTTTGGAGGATGGCTTGTCATATTAATGTTATTATCATTTAAGAGGGAGAGAGCCCTGTGGAGATCTCATTTAAGGCTCACTAGTATAGTTACTTAAGGTCTCAATGCGTCGTATACCCTCTTTACAATCTGGTGGATCCTGCTGAAAGAAATCTAGCATATTTGTCATTGGTTTTATTGATTGAGAGCCTCTAGGCAAGAATAAACAAATTTTCAAAGAAATTGGAACAAATACAATCAAAGCATGAGCACTGGAATGGATAGTAGGCTGGGAAAAGAGCCAAGTATAGAAATTGCTCTTAAGGGACTAGAATAGCAGTTATAACCCACTGGCTCTTAGACCCCTCCACTGATGGAGCCTGATATTTTATCATAATTCTTTCCAGTTTTAGCTGCAATTATCTAAAAATTTTGATGACTTATGAGAATTAGATTATAACAATTAACACATTATTTTGAACAATAAAAGACTCTCAACTTATTGCACATGGACAACAATATGTATTTGTACAGGTAAACTCTCAAAGGAAATTCATTACATAATAATTTATAAGTTCACACTAAAAGTTTCAAAGTCCACAACTTATTATCAAAGTATTTTTCTACACACATAAATGATAAACAGACCTAGGAGGGGAGGGAGAGGTTGAAGATCCTCCCTTAGTCTAAATGTATTTTGGTCCTTTAAGTGTGGTGCTTTGGAAATAGCTCCTTCTGGTTTCACCCAGAAGTTGGTTCTTTCCATTGTGTCTCAGGTTCAGTCTCCTGAGGGAGACTATTGCCTAAAACACTAAGCTGGACATAGCTTTTCTGTGTGTTCTTCTGGACAGGCAACATTTTGATGTCTCATCTGATCCAGAGATGCAGTATGTGTTCCTCATCTAAGATGACTTCCCTGTCTTTGGTGTTAGCAAGCACTCACTTTCTACAGGCTTACTTTAAAGGTTCTTAGTTGTTCAGTAGGAGTGAAAGGTTTCAGCAGTTTAGGACTCCTCTCTCATTAACCTTACATGCCTCCAAAAATAGGGAAAGTACAGAGTGGCAAGAAAAAGTCAGAAATAAGATCAGAGAAAGGAAGTCTTTTCTTCTCATGCTCATGGTGAGTTATTCAAAAAACTTGCCCATGAGTCATTATCCTTAGCCTGGGAAGATGCAAATGGAATCTCAAGAGCTAAGATTCCCTCCTCAGCAGCAGAAGATCAGACCAGAAAGAGAACAGAGGCAGAACAGGCTCGACATTTCCTACAGAGTGTAGAGGAGGACCGGGGCTAGTCTGTCCCAGTCAACGCCTGTCCTCCAAGTCGTAAGAATTGTCACTGACATAGCATCTTTTAACTGGTGAGAGAAGTCCCATGGTTTATCAATAGGTATGTATATTTTCTAAATATGAAGTAGATTTCACAGAAAGACCATTTTATGTAATTTCATATCAAAATCCACTAGCGGGAACTTTAAATACTAATTTTTCCTAGCACTGCTGAGATAACAAACCACAGCAGTCAAACAAGTCAGACGTGTCAAACAAAAATACTAGTGAGTTCAGCAACTAAGTCCAAATTAAGCACAAAAACAGAACAGGAACAAAATGGCCATAAAACAAAGATCATCCTATAACCTTCCCATGTTCTCAATTGAAATTTATCATTATTTTAACAAAATTACATAAAAGACAAAGCATGAGCAATTACTAACAATGGGAAAAGGCTTAACATAAAAATTTGAAGCATAAAAATTTTGATTGCCTAAGCAAGTCACAACCCAGAATCTATGAAACCAGCATAAACTCTTACCTCCATTATGTTATCACGGTGGAAGCTCTCCAAATGATGTAGGGGAAAGAAACTTCCAACCTGCTTGATATCAGAAATGCTGAGTTCATGTTTTCTAAAACCAAGGAGTAAATTCTAGGAACAGTGAAGGTTAAGAGTCAGAAGAATTTATTGAGAGTAGGAAAGCTTCCATCTAAGAGGCACAGAAAGAGCCCTGGAAAGTGTGTTGCCCCTGGATGACTTCTCTGGATCCACATCTGAAAATGGAGAACATTGGACTAAAATAACTGCTAGAATGTTTCTTCACTCCAAATGTCTACAAATCCTAGAATAAATGGAAAATAGAATTATTTAATGTATTAATATTTTACTTCTTACCCACACATTTGCCAGAAGTTTAAATCTTTTTTGATGGCTTATTTCAAAATGAGTATCCCTAGAGAGCCTTCAATTTAACTATAGTTTTAAATGAATACCCTAATGACAGAGTGGAATGTGTACAATTAATGAATGAGACTTAGAGTTAGATATGTAACTCAGAGCCCAGTTCTTCCTATCACCGAGTGACCACTGGCATAATATTTAATCTGTCTTCAGTGCATGAAGTGAGAGTAGAACTTACTTAGCTTTTGAAAAGATTAAAAGACATAATACATGCAAAATGTTCAGCGGATTGCTTCATAAATTTTAATTACTCAATAATTATTAGCTACTATAGATTTCATTATTATTACAATATAATGTGCACTGTGTCAGGCAAAGAAAATATATGCAAGGTAAATGATAATGTTTTCTAACTTCAAAGAACTAAGAGAAATGGTGCTTTACTAAAATATTTTTTTTCTTCTAGAATATGTCACCATATTTGATTTTCCTTGAGGCTTACCAGTAAGCAGAAAAATCAAAAGAGTTCAAACCCTTGTTTAATTTTACAGAAATTACTTTAATATTTGTACCATTTTCTTGGATTTCCTTAATATTTTCATAAAGAATAAAATTAGGCAAGCTGTTTGGAATGTAAGAAGTTGTATAATTCTTATGAGAATGTTCATTTTGATTTTGTATATTGTCATAGTTTTAGAACAGATTTCCAGTCACAGTACTTCATGGTTAGTAAAAAATGGGCCACACATAAATTATGCATTCAGAAAAAATGAAAGACAAAAGCACTGAGCGTCTCTTTTGCTAGTAAGAAGAAACAGTTTCACTGTCTAACACGGAAGACAGAACAGTCAGTGTAATTTCGCTGAAATACAAGCAGCCAAATTCATACCACTCTGTCTTGCAAACTTCTTCATTGTCCACAGAGAAAACTCACACAGAATGAGGAATAATCAAGGAGCAACAGCTGTTTTAGTCTGGAGAAAAATCCTGTCCTCTAAATCTTTTTAGAAAGTAGCACTTTTAAATGGTCTTCGAAGCTCTCTTGTGACATGAGGATAAGCCCCAAAGACCAACACCTGCCAAAGCTGCCATCTTACTCCGTGTATGTTACTATGACAACATAATTCATAAAGAACAGCAATTCATCTCTCACATTTCTGTAGTCTGTGTCTTCCAAGATCAAGGTGTGGGAACCACTGCTGACAGATGAGGGTCAACATTACTTTAAGAATGCTGTTACACAACAAAAACCTGAGGGCAAAAACATGGATTTCTCTTGACAAATCTTTTCACTAGGGTTTCTAATTCCATATGCTTATTTCCTAATCCTAACCCTAAACTTAACCCTAAACCCAACCCTAATCCTCACATTTATTTGTTTCCTGAGAAGCCCACCTTTGAATACTGCAACCTGTCTATTTCACTCCTTAGATTTTTGAGGTAACACATTCAAACTGTAACTATCGGATGTGGAGAAACTTCTTTTGAAAGTGATCATCTTTAAAAGCTGACAAATGCATAATATGGATATCATAAAGCACGGCAAACATTGACATGTTCCATAAATACATAGATGTCCTTTGAGTGCAACTGTCCAATGAGATGAATGGAAAACAGTTTTATTGATGAATGTCTCTTCAACATCAAGGAGCAAAATAGGGATACATAGGTGAAGAGGAGAAATGACAAATAACTGCCTCCTCAGTAGCTGAAAATTACACTAAGTTCTCTTTACTTGCAAGATTTGAACTTGTTTCTTTTTCTAATTTCTTCTTTGTTTTGTATTGCTCATTAAATCTCAGATCCAAGATGGCAGCTAACTTGCCTGTTTTATAAAGGTCCTTACCCTATTTCCTAAAGTTGGGTAAGGTCACAGTAGGTGTCTAATAAAAATTGCTCAACAGATGAATGAGAAGTCCAGGGAGATTTGGATCATAATTTTCCTTGCTACTAAGAAACTAGGCTATCTTATAGCAACCACTTAGCCTTGAGAGAGAAAATATCTCCAAGTAAAGGTGTGCACCAGCTGGCCAACACTTGCAATAGTAACATTCACTGATAGTGTATCTGTTTTGAAACTTTCACAGGATAATCAGTTAATGTTTTCATAGGAACTTCTTTTATGTAACATTGCATTTGACAAATCTTTTTGTTTTTCTGAAATGTAGGTCCAAGATACCATTTGCTATGTTGTTAATTATTGGTGCCTGAATTAATGCCTGATCCACATTTGTGATCGAACCATGATTTAATTACTAACAAATTATCACTTACGTGATTTGTTATTTTATAACAAATCATGTAACAAATCACTTACATGATTTGTTACCTTATAAGTTCAGTTTTGGTTATTTAGATATTCAATAAAAGAAAAATTCTCCTAAGTTTACACTGAAGTCTTTTTCTTTAAGAACTCTTCATTTATTTTCCTTTTACTCCTGTGATAAATATACATTTTACACACTCAATTGCATTTGTTAAACATTAAAACTACAACACATCATCAGATGATTAAATTCAGAATTATAGATAGGTTTTATTGATAATGGTGAAGATAATTTTAGGTGCTTTTTTTCCCCCATGTGAGGAAGTTTTAATTTTTTTATTGTCTATTTGATTTTTTCTCATCAGTGTCAAAGGGTGGTGTACAAAATTTTAACAGGGTTAACCCATAGTTCTATTTCAAATATAAACAACCAAGTATTATAATACAAAGATATTAAGTTGCTACATTTATTATTTTCAAAATATTTGCAGCTCTTTGATATGTTAAATAGAAATATGAGATGAAAAATCTCTAGAGAAAAAGAATGCTACAATATTTACATTTAAGGAACATTTACAAAATTTATATTAAAATGGTGCTCTTTATTATGTTGAATTTACTTGTGAATTGAATGAAACATGTTACAAGCATTATTTGCAGATTTCTAACTTCTTGGCACATATATGTAAAATGCAAGCTTATAAAACTTGGAAAACATTTATGTTAATCATTTTTATTGACTTGTCTTCCCCTTGGATCATGCGAAAGTAAAAGTAGCCCAAACTAAATGTCCAACGAGAAAAAAATGGAGCTAGTAAACTCTACTGACATTAACTTCCTAAGAATTTCAGCATACAATTTGCCCATACAGGTTCCATTAAAGTTAATGGGAGTCGTGTGACTAATTCTCTCTGTAGGGTACTAAAAATGTACCCTGCAGTATTAAAAAGTCTGAATCTAATTTTTACTTTCTCTTAACCTTGATTATGTTATACTAAAGATAGATACTTTCATTACTACACATATACGTAGTAAATTTTATATATAGATTTGAAAATAATGTATTTGGGTGAGAAGGTACAGTTATATAGGTCAGAGTAAAATTTTAATTAGTGCTGCAAACATGAGTACTGCTTTCATTAAAATGATAAAACAAGCGTATCTGTAATTTATCCTCTAGCTATACAAATGAGAACTTAAACCTCAGTGAATTCAATAAATGAAACATTTTCAGAATACCTACTTAAAATCAGGTCCACTTTTTAATCAGTCATAGTTTTAAGTGAATTCTTATTAATAGATCATTAATAAAACATCCTTATGGAATGAGATTTCAAGAAAGAGGTAAGATGAATGAAAAACAAAGTAAAAAACTTAATGGATAGTATTTAATTTTGTATGAAATAATTTATTCTACAGTAAGTTACATGTTTATTTCTAATTAAAGAATGAATTCTTAATATTTTTTCACTTCTATAGGAAAATAAAATACTACAGATAATATTGCCTGTAAATTCATGATGCTTTTATACTGCCCAAGTTCCTCCTGCTTTTGATATTCAAAATGAATTATTAATCTCATTTTTTCTTTAAATAATTTTTGCTTGGCTTCTATCACTACCTGGGGGATGAAGTCATCAGATTTTATTGTAAAAGAATGCAAACAGAGAAGGAAAACTGTATATATGAATAAATACTCTCACATCCATCTTTCACTGAAATCAACAGTTATGCTGCAAAAATGGGGACATGCACAAGATATTTTCTAGGCACAAAGGACACTGGGTAAAAGCATGCAATACTGTATAACAATAAATAAAGCAGAACACTCTCCAAGGGTCCAGATTTGTTTTGGATAACCTTCCAGAAGGCAGAATTCTTGCCTAGCACCAACACAAACTGCAATTAGGACTGATGTTTTTATGTTGCACATTTATCTTGCTCTTTAGATTTCTATTACGACATTTTGTGTCAGTAGAATCCTGAGGTTGGGTGGGACAGGGGAGAAAAGTTACTGTGACTAATAAATTCACAGTTCTAATTTACTGAACCTGATGTCATACACTCAGCTATTAAACTTCATCATGTCCTTAAAATACTTCCATCTCAAAATCCCATTACTTTGAATTCATTTGGAAGCTCGCAATATTTCAGTTTTGTGCTGAAACTCGCTCGAGCTGCGGGCTCACTGAAGGAGGCTGCAAGCATTCAGCTGCACTGGACTCTTCGGGTCCCCTGGACTCTACTTTCCAGGCTGATTTGTGGCCCTGACCTCAAAGCAGCGGAGGCAGAAGACATTATAGCCTTTATTGCTTACAAATTACTCTTAAATATAAATTAAAGCCTTAAATAAGGCTTCTTAGAAATATGTCTGGCACATGCCAACAGCTAGCCAAGCCACATAGCTCTCAGAAGGTTTAGCAAAATTCCATTTGGAATTGCTCTGATTTTTAAGCTAACTTTCTATGGAAACACTCCTTCTTTCCTTTTAAAGACATAACGAATAGGCATACTTTGGATTATACACACCTTTCCCTCACTCAAATGTCTATATTTTTACTTAAAAAAATAAAGTTATGTTTAGCATTTTTACAGTGTTTTCTGAGATAATTGGAAGCCCTCTGGAATACTATGATAATTTGTTACTAATACTCGACAAGGGAACTTTTGGCCCACAGGGTTTAGAAAAGACTCTGGCCCAGATATTGTAAGCACATGCACCCCTCCGTAGGCAAAGCTTCACTGGGGAGGCAGCACAAGGGGAGTCTGAGTTACCTGTTGCTGAGACAAAATATCCCACACACCCACAAGTTTAAAGGAGGAAAGTTTTCTTTCGGTTCACAGCTTGTAGGAGTTTCGGTCCATAGCTGGCGGGCATTTGGCGGAGGGCATCACAGAGGAGAGACGTTATTGCGCGGCAGGCAGAAGGCAGTAGCAGCAAGCGGTGAGACTGCCCGAGCCACAGTAGCAAGCCTGCCTCTCCCTTTTATCTCAGCCAGGTTACCAGGCTTTCGGGTGGTGCCGCCCACGCCCAGCGTGGACTTTCCCATTGTCCACACCCACAGCTATACTAAACCAAACCGTGGACTAACTGAGTAATCGTGTACCCTTAACCCCAGTATCACACACCCTAGATCTAGCCACCGCCAAAAAGCCCCACCTATGACTGCAGGAGTCTTTCAGGGACATCTAGACACAAGCCATAGCAAGAAGTCTCAGCCAAACTGGGACTTTGGCTGACAGGAGCAAGCAGTTAGTAGAGAGACTGACCGAGATGCTGCTTCCAAAGACAGTAGCAGGTGTTACTGATTTCTTGGGATAGGCTAAATTATGAGTTTTCACTGGCCAGATATATGATTTCAAAAGATGTTTCTTCTTGTGACAGACTTGTACGCAGAGTGGTAATGGTAAACTTGTCCCAGAGGCTATTGCATCTCCATGTATCAGGCACCATTATCCCACAAAAGCATCTTGGTGTTGTGGTAGGCTGGCGAACAGGTGGTCACCTTCGCTTGAGTTGCACTTAGAGCTGGTGCCGTCATTTGTGCAAACATCCTGTCCTCATTATGAGGCTGAAGGTCTATTATTGCTTGAGAAGTTGAGAGAGGACAGCACAAGGGTGGGGGTAAAAGAAGCATGCACCTTCTCCAACAGGCAACAGGCCAAGTTAACCGCGTACCACACGGTCTTGAACAAAAGCTTGTTTAAATGGTCAGCATATCTAGTACAGAGCTGAGTAGAATCTGACCCAAAGCTTCAGAGAGCAAAGGGACAGACACAGTACAAAATCCAAGATGTCAAGCTTGACAGCCCGTTTTCATTAGACATGTACAGGCCCAAGTGGACAGTCTGTGTGCTCAGCAGAAGGTGGTCCTCGGGTCAGTGGGATGTATCCTAGGTAACAACTGTAGTGGGAAACTAATAATGTATTGCCTGGCTGCGTAACTTCCAAAATTAGTGATTTTTAAATTAACTAAGATCAAGTGAAGCTTCACTAGGTTTTTTCTTGTTAACTGCTTCTCATTTCATATAAACATCCTGCTTTAATGGTCTTACCAGGGTCTCACAATGGGTCTGCTGAAACGCGTTGTTACAAGGGGTGATAGTTTATTATGTTCAATTCATTGTGTCATCCCAATCTCCTGTCTCACCCCTTTTCCGTCATGGTGGTGCACGACTGTCTCAGTTACACATTTTTTAAAGTCTTACTGACACTGTGATTTTCTAACAGAAAAACAGGATGAGTTGAAAAGAATGAAGCTCAGATTTTGAATTAAGTACAATGTACAGAAAACATGCAATATTCGAAAGTAACATACCTGCACATTGTATATAGGTATCCAACAGAAGGATTAAGTCCTTCTCACTGGGATAGTATCTCTATGGATTTTGATCTGAACTGCTGTCATCATTTGAATTTGGGGACTCCATTTCTGTTTTTCATTTTGATGTACTTCTACATGGGATTACTTTTGTTCATGACAGTTTACACCTTGTTTTGTATCTGATTGAAAAATTGCTCTTCTCTATCTCCTGCAGCACTCAAATTATACTAAAAACTACCTGTTTAGGTGTCTTTCAGTTTCTTTAAAATGTTCCAAGAAACCATGCTTCACTGAGCTTTGCACAGTTGCTGGGTGAAGTAGAATGGCACACACGCTTCCAGAAAGTTCTGTCTTCCATCTGATGCTACATATTGGATTTTTAATTTGAGAGACCTAATTTGCCTTACAAAGCCCCTGTCAATAGTATTTCTCCATTTTTAGCTATTTCTATCCCAATTTTCTATTTCATAATTTTTTCTGTGCCGAAAGAGGAGCTTCTCTTTGTGTCCTGAGTAAGTGAAAATGTTGTGCTAAAGTTTTCTGCAGAGCATGTCCTACAGGATGCCTGCTGGTGGTGATCATTTCTGGAGCCCCTCTGCCCTGCATGCATGTTCCATGTGTGTTATGGGAGTGGAAACCAGACTCAGACAAAGAACTACCTTCTCAGCTGTCTGCATGCAGCGATGGCTCAGTCTGCATTTCTCTCTGTTATGTGATGATTCAGTTCACCCCAATTTGCCCTTTGGGAACTGCTGTGAAAACTTCTTTTGTGTAGTAAATCATGACAGCATTTGGCCTTCATTTGGTGGTAAGTGCATGGTTTATATATTAAAGCCATCTCTTTTTTCCCTTTAGAAATACCATGTGGCATCAATTTGTTTGTAAGTGCAAATCAAATGGGAGTTTGGGATCCTCCAGATGATCCAGAATATTCTGTCTTAAGGTTTTAAATGTTATCAGGGTAATGAAAGTCTAACAGTGAAAAAAACCTATGAAAGTAGTTGAATTCCCAACTCACATAGAACCTCAGGCAGTAGTTGGAGAAAATCAGTTCTGAAAATTTTAGCATGCTGGGACATTAATGGTACAAATCAAATTTCAACATGCTATTTAGAAATATGCTTGCCCTATCTATCTATGTATCTATCTATGTATCTATGTATCATCTATCTTTCTATCATCTATCTATCTATCATCTATCTATCTATCTATCTATCTATCTATCTATCTATCTATCTATCTACCTAATCTGTCCATCTATCATCTGCCTGCAGAGATGAAATCTGTGGATTCTACCTAACCAACAGAATTTTACATATTGGTCTTTAGCCACAGATGAGCTTAGGATCCTGAAGAAAAGTAGTGATTTTATGGCTTTAAATTTTCAAATATGTCACAGTGGACCAATATGGTGATTCCATGAATAACTGCTCTTTGCTCCTCCTCCCACTCCCGAGGATAATCAGACCCAGCACTGCGGATTTCCAGCGTTACTCGTCCAGCTCTGCTGTGGCTGCCGCGGCTGCTCTATGGCCTGAAGCTTAACGTGCCTAGAAGTTGTTTCCCAAGGTCGACTTAGGAAATGTGTGACCATGTTTGGTTTGTTCCGAAGTGGTTGCCATATATTTAATGAGGTTGTGAACATACACTATGATTTGTATATGGCCCATCAAATAAAATACATCTTCAACTCACTTTTCACATCAGTGCGCGGTTTGGAGTGGGCTGTTTTACAAGCACATGTGTTTATCATATGAATTTATTTGGGGACAAACATCACTGCTTATGTTAGGGATGCTGTTTCTAAGTAGCTGAGTACTCTGCTTCAGCCCCTCTTCTTCAGGAACAAATGTTAAGGCTGATGGTCCTTTCCTTCCTCCCTTTTGGTAGGTTTGTCTGAAAGCTAAGCTGCCTTACCTCATTTACTTGTGCACATAGCACATATAAAAATCTAGCATGAGAGCAATTTTAATGAAAGCTTTTCTTATTTTTTATTTTTAACTTTTTTTTTTCCAGTACCGGGAATAGAACTCATGACCTTGCACTTGTCAGGCAGGCGCTGTGCCGCTGAGCTAAATCCCCAGCCCCCACGAAAAGCTTTCTTCACTCAGAAATGCACAGAACTCCTAACGTCCATGTGCCGGGGGAGCAGTGCACCTTTATCAGTTGCATGCATCTGGGGCAGCAAGGTGATCCATGGTTTGCACACCAGACAAGATGCCAGGAGATCTTGAATTCTTTTAAGCCTCAGTGTCTGGGACATTCAGTAAATCATTTTGCTCCAAGGTAGCCCTGCCTCCTTCTATTTTACATGGAAGTATCTTCCCCTAGCACAACAAAAGGGTGCATTGTAACTAATACTGAGAATAACTATGGATTTTGTTTTCCTTTAAATCTCTATCATATAAAAGAAAGCAACAAAGGAGGTCTTTCTACTAAATGAACCTTGGCAAGTGGCTGAATGACTCATCCAAAACCTTCTAGTTTACTGTATAATGTAATAAATTATATTCTCTGAATAAGCTAGGTAGATAAAATGCCTTTCAATTGGTAATTCAGATCCAATGCAATGAAACAGAATATTCCATGGAGTTTATTTCCTGTAATTGTGGGAGATAAAATTGATTTTCCCACATTTTTCTCCTACCCCCTAGGTGTTTGTCACAGTTACAGATGGTTTAAGAAAACCAGAAATGATATATGTTATAAAATTTAAAACTCCATAAACCTCATGTGCTTCATATAAAAAAATGCAGAGCTGGTAGTCTGTGTGAAATTCTGATGTGGATCCTTTCCTTTAGAACTTTACAAGACAAGAGAAATGTCTGAAATGGAGATTATACAATTTGTCTTGAAGCAGAAGCCCCAACTCGAGCACTTTGGAAACTCCTGGCATTCTTCAATACAACTCAAATGATATTGAAAAGAGTTCACATGGTCTTTTCTGCTTGCCTTTGGTGTGGGTCAAGATTTTGGTCAGTGCATTCAGCAGGTAAGGGTTAGGGGTCAAGGAAGTGACTGGCACTTTGAGTGTGGTGAGAGAGATGAAGTCCTGGAAACTTACAATGGATTGAGTAAATAATATCAACAGACTATATAAAGCACCAGGTACCATTTTTGCAATTACAAAGTTTTACAGTTTTTTAATATAAAAATGAGATAAATTTTTCAAACCTAAAAAGTTTTTTTTCAAACCTGTATGACTTTGAATAATAAGTTTACCAGGATATCTCACTTTGTATTTAGGTAAAGTGAACATTATACTTATATAATGGTATACTGTAATTATATATACTTATATACATGTGAATTTTCCTTCCAGTTGCTGTTTTGTATGTACATTTATGGCATATTCTTATTGTTTAAGTTTCTTTAAGAGTCTGATACATTCCAGAGCCAAAGAAAGAACCTTACAAGGCAGATTAGTAAGATGAAAAAAGACCTCTGAATGTGTGAAAAATTATTTTGAGTCTTAATAGTTATAATATATTGGTCTAAATGAGCCATAGTGATAGATTCATATAGTAAATTAGGATTAAGTGAGAAGAGAAATATACTTAAGCTTGTTCTGATTCTTAAAATATGACTCAATTAAAACCTTCTGTAATAAAG